AATTCATATTGGTGTAATATCTACTGTATTCCAACTCATCTATGGTTCATACTCTCCGATACTACTCATAGATTCATCAAAATAAGCAAACAACACATAGAAAACATAATCTGTCAAAAACAGAACAGTCTGTAGTAATCTGGATCAAACTTATACTTCTGGAACCCCAAAAATTCTAAAATAAATTGTTGAACGTGAGGAATTTATCTATTAATCATCTTCAAAAAGAATTAACTAAATATCACTCTCCAATAAAAAATGGCAGATAATCTCGTGAGCGCTAAAATTTCTGTTTTTTATAGCAAGATCTCAAAGACTTTCCCCAAGTCTTCCCAAAGGTTATACTTGGCACAAACACTAATTAAAAGTATAAAACCACATCTAAACAGAGGCTAGATGAATTATTTATTACTAAACAGGAAAAAAAGCAAGGAGCCAAAATAAAATCGGGTTGCCTCCCAACAAGCGCTATCGTTTAACGCTCCTAGCTGGGCATGATGATTTCAATGAATCTCACATAAAAGATAAGAATTGAAATATAAAGAGAGCATCTTGAAGAATATGACTAGCACATTTCAGTCTAACCCACTTCCTATGCATAGTGATTTTGTGAGCAAACAACTTGTGGGAACAAGAATCAACTTGCATAGGAAGGTAAAACAAGCATAACTTCAAAACGTTAAGCACATAGAGAGGAAACTTGATACTATTGCAATTCCTACAAACACATGTTCCTCCCTCATAATAATTTTCAGTAGCATCATGAATGAATTCAACAATATAACCATCACATAAAACATTCTTTTCATGATCTAGAAGCATAGAATTTTTATTACTCTCCACATAAGCAAATTTCTTCTCATGAATAGTAGTGGGAGCAAACTCAACAAGATAATTATCATGTGAGGCATAATACAATTGAAAACTAAAATCATGATGACAAGTTTCATGGATATCATTATTCTTTATAGCATACAAGTCATCACAATAATCATCATAGATAGCAATTTTGTTCTCATAATCAATTGGAACCTCTTCTGAAATAGTGGATTCATCATCAAATAAAGTCATGACCTCTCCAAATCCACTTTCATCAATATAATCATCATAAATAGGAGGCATGATTTCATCATAATAAATTTTCTCATCAAAACTTGGGGGACAAAAAATATCATCTTCATCAAACATAGCTTCCCCAAGCTTCTGTCTTTGCATATCATTAGCATCATGCATATTCAAGGAATTCATACTAACAACATTGCAATCATGCTCATCATTCAAATATTTAGTGCCAAACATTTTAATGCATTCTTCTTCTAACACTTAGGCACAATTTTCCTTTCCATCATACTCACGAAAGATATTAAAAAGATGAAGCGTATGAGGTAAACTCAGTTCCATTTTTTTATAGTTTTCTTTTATAAACTAAACTAGTGATAAAACAAGAAACAAAAAGATTCGATTGAAAGATCTAAAGATGTACCTTCAAGCGCTAACCTTCCCGGCAACGGCGCTAGAAAAGAGCTTGATGTCTACTACACAATCTTCTTCTTGTAGACGTTGTTGGGCCTCCAAGTGCAGAGTTTGTAGGACAGTAGCAAATTTCGCTCAAATGGATGACCTAAGGTTTATCAATTCGTAGGAGGCGTAGGATGAATATGGTCTCTCTCAAGCAACCCTGCAACCAAATAATGAAGAGTCTCTTGTGTCCCCAACACACCCAATACAATGGTAAATTGTATAGGTGCACTAGTTCGGCGAAGAGATGGTGATACAGGTGCAATATGGATAGTAGATAATGGTTTTTGTAATCTGAAAATATAAAAACAGCAAGGTAACGAATGATAAAAGTGAGCGTAAACGGTATTGCAATGCGTTGAAACAAGGCCTAGGGTTCATACTTTTACTAGTGCAAATTCCCTCAACAATAATAACATAATTGGATCATATAACTATCCCTCAACATGCAACAAAGAGTCACTCCCAGGTCACTAATAGCGGAGAACAAACGAAAAGATTATGGTAGGGTACGAAACCACCTCAAAGCTATCCTTTCTGATCGATCTATTCAAGAGTCCGTAGTAAAATAATATGAAGCTATTCTTTCTGTTCAATCTATCATAGAGTTCGTACTAGAATAACACCTTAAGACACAAATCAACCAAAACCCTAATGTCACCTAGATACTCCAATGTCACTCAAGTATTCGTGGGTATGATTATACGATATTGCATCACACAATCTCAGATTCATCTATTCAAACCAACACAAAGTACTTCAAAGAGTGCCCCAAAGTTTCTACCGGAGAGTCAAGACGAAAACATGTGCCAAACCCTATGCATAGGTTCATGGGCGGAACCCGCAAGTTGATCACCAAAACATACATCAAGTGGATCACATGATATCCCATTGTCACCACAGATAAGCACGTGCAAGACATACATCAAGTGTTCTCAAATCCTTAAAGACTCAATCCGATAAGATAACTTTAAAGGGAAAACTCAATCCATTACAAGAGAGTAGAGGGGGAAAAACATCATAAGATCCAACTATAATAGCAAAGCTCGCGATACATCAAGATCGTATCACCTCAAGAACACGAGAGAGAGAGAGAGAGAGAGAGATCAAACACATAGCTACTGGTACATACCCTCAGCCCCGAGGGAGAACTACTCCCTCCTCGTCATGGAGAGCGCCGGGACGATGAAGATGGCCACCAGAGAGGGATTCCCCCCTCCGGCAGGGTGCCGGAACGGGTCTAGATTGGTTTTTGGTGGCTACGGAGGCTTCTGGCGGCGGAACTCCCGATCTATTGTGCTCCTCGATGATTTTAGGGTATATTGGTATATATAAGAGGAAGAAATACGTCAGGGGGGCCACGAGGGTGGAGGGCGCGCCCAGGGGGGTGGGCGCGCCCCCCTGCCTCGTGCCTTCCTCGCTGCTTCCCTTACGTACACCCCAAATCTTCTGGATTGCTTCCGTTCCAAAAATAAGTTCCGTGAAGTTTCAGGTCAATTGGACTCCGTTTGATTTTCCTTTTCTGTGATACTCTAAAACAAGGGAAAAAACAGAAACTGGCACTGGGCTCTGGGTTAATAGATTAGTTTCAAAAATAATATAAAAGTGCATAATAAAGCCCATAAACATCCAAAACAGATAATATAATAGTATGGAACAATCAAAAATTATAAATATGTTGGAGACGTATCACGGGCCATGGTCCCGAGTTGACAAAGCACACGTGGTGCAAGGTGGTGGAGGAGCAAGAGGAGAAAGCCCGTACACTACAGTGTTGCACTGCCGCACTATTTATATTTGCTTGGCCGATGAGTCATGGTTAATTAAAAGTTCTTATGATGAAACATAACATGTTTACAGAATCTGGATCAAGTAGAGAGATCTATTAAAAGTTGTTGTGTTAAGCATTTCCCACTGCAACATGAGCATGAACAACTATGGTCTTGTTCATGTGATAGACACAAGGAAGGATGATGTCGCTTCTGCTTTCACTCTGTCTCCTTGTATAGTTGTAGAGTCATGGTTGAATCTTAGTAGGTGATCTATTGATGCTTGTAGGAGTTTATTTGGATGAAGTGTAGATCTTGCATTTGACTATAGTGTTTTTTTTCCAACAAAGATCGTGCATTTATTTACGCTTAACAAATATGTGACACGCATGAACAACTAACATCAAAAGCGGATTGTTTGGATTTGACAACGCGTACCTAAGCTGCAAGAGGACCGTTGGTCATGCTACTCTGAGAGAGCTATAGTTAACATTCTTCAAGTCCACATACCTAGATTTCACCAATACCTTTCTTGCTCTTTTCCCTGACGGACGGTCATTAAACGATGCACCAACTGGATCTAGCTAATCGACTTATCACCGATTAGCGACTCTTGTTATTCGCCGAGCTATGTCGTGTAGCGATTCTTGTTATTCGCCGATCATCGGTAGTTCCTGGTGTCTCATATGCCTACACTCATCATTTCAAATCCCTAGTGTGTAGCTATCACCAGTAGTTCCTTGTGCCTCAAATCCGTGGTGTGCATACATCAAACAAATAATGCACGAAATGTAAATGAATAGGTCCACTGTAAGGAAATGAGATGATGAACAATATGTTTATGCATAGCTTAGGGAAGCCTCATTTCTTATAGAAGACTCGGGTACATGGTAGTGGTGGTGACATGAAGTCACTGGTTCTTTGTTTGGTAAATAGCTAAGATTTCCTTGGTAGGTAAAAGCCTATGAGATATTATTAAAACAAAGGCTTGATTTGCTGTGCTCTTTTCTCCTTTATACAAACGAAACGATGGATTTTTCGAGCTCGTTTTGTCCTTGGGGTAGGTAAGAGCATGTGAGATCTAAAAACAAAAGATGAATTTGTTACGGACGGTTCTCCTCGGTAGGCTAGAGACAGAGAGAACTTTAAAAATAACTCAATTAAATTTCCAGGCCCGCGGCAAGTGGACGTCCGAAATGGTGCAAGCTTTCCAGGGCAGCGGCACCATGACCTGCAGCGCCCTCTTCTCCGGGTGCCTGTTGCCGGAGTCTGGTGGATGTAAACTGTAAAAACTGGAAGCATAACGTAAACTGCGGTGACACCCACACCAGAAATAAACTGCATAGCCTTCTGCTGTTGCATAGCAACATTCATTATTATTATGTAACTGGTACAACAAACCAATGCTTGTAAACAAAGAAGCAGCGGTACGGTACAGACACAACCGCGACCTGCGCAGACATCTATCACCTGCGAGATCGCGATAACTGAGATGATGGAACTCAACACAAAGACCGGCTACAAATAACTTAGGACAGACACCTCATGCCCACATCGACTCTAATGCACCTCCTTCCTTGCTGGGGAGCCAAACCCTATCTATCTTCCATGGATGTCACATTCGGCAACTTGGTCTGGGGGCACCGACCTTTCGGAGTCTGCATCAGGGTCCAGGCGGCACCCGGGTAGCGGTAACATCGGCTCGCCTCTGAGTTATTGGTCTCTGAATAGGGTGGAGAGCAGCAGGTCTTGCACAAATGCCGCTCTCACTCTGGCTTGCTCCCTTTCTTCCCTTGTGAGCGACGAGTCAATACTGCCAAGCAAAAAGGAAGAGGGTGAATGAATGAATTGTAAGGTTTCCCTAAAAATTTCTAGGAAGTTGTTGCCCACAAAACCCACCCATGACTTCATTAGTAAGCAAAGTGAAGGTTTGCAGCTACACATGCTCTCTCTCAAGTCAAACCAACGCTACTTATGTACTCCTTATTTAGTGCAAGGCTGTCATCAGTTATCATCAACAGTAAGCATTTGTTTATCTAGAACTAATGGGTTCAGTTTTCATGGTCAAAATAGATTTTTCCTTGATCTGACTAAATTATGTAAAGATGTACTGCAATGAGCTCAGATTTTCATGGACAAAACAGATTTCTCGTGATCTGAATAGATTATGTAAAAAACGTACTGAAAATAAACATCACAACGATGCATTAGAGGAGCAGTTGGCATAAAGGCAGTTCCTCTGGCAACAGGTCACTAGATATATAAATAGGAGAGTAACAGGATGAAGATGGTCGGTACGAAGTCTATAATATCCACAGTATCAACAAATATTTAGTTATTTACCTTGACCGCCATGGTCGAGCAGCTGCCTCTTTTAGCACTGGTACATCACTCTGAGCAGGAGTAGACAATTTTGATGTTTCCTCAGCATCTAACGTTGGGAAGCTAAGGCCAAATGATGACAGAAGAGGATCAGCTGAAATATTTGTGGCATTATTGTTGCTCGACCTATGTCCACCACCTCCCAGAAGCACCTGCAAATGGGCTTCACGTAGATCCCGGCTCAGCAGAGAGAGCGACTGGCTGCCTGGAACAGCAAATCTGCGCAACCTGCGGCGATTCTGCACATGGTCCAAAGTTAAAGAAGCTCATATGAGAGAGGGGAGCAGGGGATGAAGGAGGGGAGTTACCTTGAACAAGTACCCATGTTGCATGGTGATATGGTTAAGCATATCTTTAGAAACCTTTTCGGAGCAGACAGGGCAAGGCTGAAATGAGGAAGGTAAACCATATAAGAATACTGTAACAGCAAAAACATCAAGTTGCAAATTTTCATATCTACTGTTAGACACGTACAAACCGATAATAACAACAGGTCAATCAATTCTTTTCCAAGGAACAGGTGAAACTAATTGAGGTAAAAACAAAATACTGTGTCTCTACTTTTAGACTTGCACAAACCGATAAACAGCAAGTCAATCTAATTTCTTTTCCAAGCAACAGGTGAAACTAATTGATTTTACCTCACATACTTATTATTCTGCATTGTTCCTAATAGATAGAATGGTCTGTACGATGTGCATTGACGGAGAGTTGTCGACATGAAAAGTGACTGCACTGGGCAGGGAAGAAGATCATGGTTCAATTACCATCACTCTATGTTCCATAATAGCCACTCCAGTTTAGGGTAAAAGGGGATGTTGACATATGAAATTGAACATCTTTCGTGAAACTGATAACTGCCATTTGCATTCAAACTAAATTACTGCTCCTCATTATTCCTACTCCGAGTCACAGTTTATCAGCGCATATTGTTATTTTATCAAGCAATCATGGCATGAGTTTATGGCAGCAAACAAATGCCAAAAGCTACCCTTTTCTTCTGTCGCCAGATTTCATGATCAATCTTTTCTACTCCAAGGACACTGATCAAGGCCATCTAAAATCATTTGCCAGGACAGAGCATTATGCAAACCATGATATTCTAGCATAGCAAACCATATTTCTACTTCCAATTCCCAAGAGACAAGATAAAGAAAAGAAGAAGAGGACTCATTCGGTGGCCAGAGAATTATGCAAACCATGATATTCTAGCATAGCAAACCATATTTCTGCTTCCAAATCCCATGAGACAAGAAAAAGAAAAGAAGAAGAGGACTCATTCGGTGGCCAGAGAATTATGCAAACCATGATATTATAGCATAGCAAACCATATTTCTGCTTCCAAATCCCATGAGACAAGAAAAAGAAAAGAAGAAGAGGACTCATTCGGTGGCCAGAGAATTATGCAAACCATGATATTCTAGCATAGCAAACCATATTTCTGCTTCCAAATCCCATGAGACAAGAAAAAGAAAAGAAGAAGAGGACTCATTAGGTCGTCCAGATCAAAGCCCCTCTGAACAAGAGGGCTCGTTCCTTGTTCCAGGCCACTCAAAGATACCACAGAACTTCCGGAAATTTTCGAAATTTCATTTCTACTTTTAGACACGCAGAATCCGACAAACAACAGGTCAATCACTTTTCTTTTCCAAGGAACAGGTGAAATTAATTGAATTAAAAAAAAACACTTGATCTATATGCAGTACATTTAAAGCTGCATAGAACCACATCCTCATTTACTTGACTCTAACAAAACAGGGGATAAGTTGAGTTCTCCTCAATTTATTTATGTTACCGATTCTTCCTGAGTAATAAACTCCCTCTTCATTGCAACAATAATAGTATGACTGTTCTTCTTTGTTGTTCCTAACAGATAGAAATAGAATGGTGTGCACAACACAGTGTGCATTGACGGAGAGTTGCCAACAAGAAGACTGAATACACAGGGCAGAGAAGAGACCATGCTTCGGTTCCCATCACTCTCCACGCTAACCAATCTAGTTTTGACTAAAATGAGATGTTGACATGTGTGATTGAACATCTTTCAAGAAACTGATAATGGTCCCTTGCGTTCCATTTAAACAATTACTCCTAATAATTCCTACTCCTAGTCAGAGTTTATCAGGCCAATGTTTTCTTCTTGTCAAGAAATTATCACATGAGTTACAGCAGCAACAAATGCCAAAAGCTCCACCTTTTTTTATCTCCAGATTCATGATAAGCGTTTTGTACTAAACAAGGCCAAAATTCCCACCCCTTCTGGATATCTAAAATCATTTGCCAGACCAGAGCACTGTGACCATGATATTCTAGCCAAGCAAGCCATATTTGTACTTCGAATTTCCAAGGTGTCAAGAGATGAAACAAAAGGACTCATTCGGTCGTCCAGGTCAATGCTCCTCTGAAAAAGAGCTCTTCTCATTCCCCAAGCCACTCAAAGCAGTACGAACTCCATCTTCTCTGAATCTCTAGTAATGGTTCGCCAAAAAAAAAAAATCTCTAGTAACAGGTGAAACTAATTGAGGTAAAAAATAATACTTGGTCTCCACTTTTAGACAGGCACAAACTGATAAACATGTCAAACTGACATCTTCTCCGAGCAACAGGTGAAACTGGTTGATATCAAAAATAATACTTGGTTTATCTACTGATTTTACCAACAGGGTAAGTTGCGCTCTCTTCAATTAATTAATTTTATCTCACATATGAATGTTCTTCCGCGTTTTTCCTAACAGAAAGGATCATAGAATAGTCTACACGGCATGCATTGATGGAGAGTTGCTGGCATGAAAAGTGACTACACTGGGCAGGGAAGAACATCATGGCTCAATTCTCATCACTCTATGTTCCATGATAGCCGCTCTTGTTTTGACTAAAAAAGAGATGTTGACATATGAGACTGAACATCTTTCACTGTTGCTTGTGTCCAAACAAAAGTATTGATCCCCACAATTCCTACACCTAGTCGCGGTTTATCAGCATATATAGTTGTTTTGTCAAGCAATCATGGCATGAGTTTACAGCAACAAACAAACGCCTAAAGCTACACTTTTTTTCCATCTCCAAACTGTATGATCAACCTTTTCTACTCCAAGAACACTGACCAAGGCCAACAATCCTGCCCTTGTGCACGTCTAGAATCATTTGCCATCTAGAATCATTATGCTTCTTCTTCCAAATCGCAAGAGACAAGAGATAAGAAGAAGGGGAGGAGGACTCGTTGGGTCTTCCAGGTCAACGCCCCTCTGAACAAGAGGGCTCTCGTTCTTGTTCCAGGCCACCCACTCAAAGGTATACTAGGGACTCCATGGATCTCTTCTCTAGATAATACACAATCCAAGCAGGAGGAGGAGGTTAATCGGGGGACTGACCGCGGCGTGGGGCTCGAAGGGGTGGTCCTCCTCGAGGTGGGCGACGAGGGAGGCGACGTCGTGGTCCTCGTAGCAGTAGGGGCAGGCGAAGTCGGGCCTGCCCGCGTTCTCGTCGCCGTCCATGTCCAGCTCGTCCATCCCCGCCCGATCTGCGCCCGCACGCAAGAACCGGCAAATCAAATCAAACAATCAATCAATCAGCCACGAAACCCGCCGCAGAGCGAATCGATCCAATCGATCGATCCCGCGAGGGAGGGAGGGAAGGACGGACGTACCGGCGTGGCCGAGCTGCGCGGCGTAGAACCGCTTGGCGGCGGCCAGGCGCGAGATCCAGTGCTCCGAGTCCATTCCGGCGGCGTAGATAGATAGGTAGGCACGGCCGCTCGTCCCTCCTCCGCCTCCTGCCCTCTCCTCTGGATGGATGGAGCTTGTCGGATTCTCCCAGGCGATGAGAGGGGAGAGGAGGGGAGCCGGGAGCTTCTCTCGGTCGCTGTCCGCCTTATCGGGACGGGAGGGGAGGTGGGGGAATGAGATGTGTAGGGGACAGACGGGGGAGGGAAGGAGGAGTGAGGGATGGAGCTTTTATTATTCGCCACCGAGGCCGGACCGGGTCGCCGTCCCCCACCGCGTCATCGGCGTCGTCGTCGTCGTCGTCGTCGTTTACCCTCGGCGCAGCGCCGTTAAAAAGATTATTATGGCGCGGGTGGACGGGCGACTTGGCATGCAGGCAGGTGGCTGGCGACGCCCACGGTCCACGTCCACCCATGAGCTCCGGCCCCGTGCCGTGCCCCCGCAAACCATCCGCCCGAAACCGTCATACGCGCGGCGTGACACTGACGACACTCTCTCCGCCTGCGCCCGAGCGGCCAACGGTCGCGGGAGCCATCCATGCGGGTTGCGTGCGGTGCGGGCCGGGTGGCCGTGGGAGGGCGGCGAGCTGCGGCTCGTCGGCAGCGGAGGCGGTTGCATCGGCCGGGGCGACGGTGTCCGCTGAGATTTCACTCTTCGCTCAAAATTACAGTACACCCAGGTATTTTCCCTCCAAAAAATACAAATCCATTTCAAACATAAGCACACATGATGTCGTATTTTTCAGCTTATAACATTGTGATACGAACAAAAAACTTCCCCGCAAAATAATATGTACAACAAAAAGGTTTGAATGGTGTAATGGTACAAAAAAAACATATAATTCACACAATTTTCACTTTCTCATTTTTTTATGAAATTTATGGAAATATGAATGGTGTAGTTGAAAGTTGTGTGAAATATATGTTAGAGTTTCTATGTTAAATACTAGAGCATAAAAAAATTGAAACTTGTGTCAGTATTGCTATTTTTATAAACAATATAAAGTGCCTAAAATAATTCTAAAAGTCAAAATAAAAATATGAGTGTGACAGTTGAAGATCCGTATCTCAATTTTGACACCGCGGTGCCCCAATATTTTTGTTGGGGCGAGCGAGGGCGGGGAAGATGATGACAAGCGGGTGCAGACTGTGTTGGGGGTTGGCGTATCAACACTGCTATCTGTCCTGACGACAAGGAGTAGCAGTGCGCATGTTAGAAAGGATGAGCATACACACGTGCGTGAGAGGAGGACGGAGGAACGGACTTGGAGCAATGGCGGCGCACGCTAAACAGCTGGTATCCCCTCAAAAACGGTTGTCCCTGTCCAGTCGCGGGATATCCTTCAAACCAAACACATCCATAGTGATCAAACATATGCTGGGATCCGGGAGATGGGATCGAGGTAGGGTAACGGTAACTGTTTGAGGGAGAAAACCGAGACTGAAGTGGTCTGTTTGTACGGGAAAGTCAGGAGCGGGTGGGACGGCATATGTACATGATGGAGGACGACGCATTTTGTTCGCAGGAAAGGGAACCTTGCTTATTTTTTAGATAGTATAGATATAGAAGATAGTAGAGATAGAGACTTTATAGTTGTCCGTGGGTTGCAACAGATATACATATTCTACTACGTTAACAGATTTCTACTACAACGACAGGTGATTTACGTGTCCATATTGTTGTGATTGTGCTTATCAGAATCTACCCGTAATTTACCTACCTAAAGAAATTTTCATGAGAACCGATGAAAAAAACAAAGAAGAGAAAAAAAATCAAAACAAAGAGAGGAGGAAACGTACATAAGGCTGAACGAAAGAGGAGGTGGACGACAGAATATTACATTCTTTTTAGGTAGGAGAGATGTAGATATACAAGATAGAGAATTATGTATGTTAGCTTTGTCCTAAGTAAAAAATCAATAATAAAGTCAAAATATCTGCATAGGGTTTTCTAATGCTCGAGCCTCTCGTTTCTCTCTTCCCTAACCCTAGGTGGTCAGGGGAAACTCCCCATTTCAGACTTTATATGCGAGCCCGTGGATTCATCTCCCCGCTACTTGCCGCTCTGGCGGCCGACGGCAGGGAGGGGAATCCCGGTGCCTCCGCTCCAGCTAGTAGTTTAGGTTAGGTTTTTTAGTCCTTACGGATGCGGCGCTCTAGCGAATGGCGGCGTTTCTTCTTTGAGTTTGTCTTCCCAGCTCCAATCCTCCATGTGAACATAATCGCGGAGCTCCAGCATAGATTCATGTCATCTCCTTTGGGACAGTAAGGTTATTACTTATCGTCATATGGCAAGATTTTCGTGTCAGGTGCTTCGGAGCATGCAATGGTTCAACTGGAATGATTGCACTCCAGGACGCTGGCCCTTGGGATGCGTGCATGAAAGACAAGGTCAAGCTTGCTCCAGTAGCGGAGCAGCGACAGCGAGGCGTCGGTGGCTTGTTTTGACAGCCATAGTACTTGCAATCGGGAGAAAAACACCACTGCCCCCCCCCCCTACAAAACACTACTGAGTTGCAGTCATGTTGAAGACATGTGGTTACAGTCGGTGCCGACACTTGCAGTTGCGTGCCTAGTTGCAGACATGCAACTACCCCTACTTCTCCTCCTCCCACAAAACACCATAGAGCCAAATGCGGTGGGATAAAAGAAAATG